TCGGGCGGCGGGAGCGGTGCCACGCCGCTCGGCCACACACCCTCCTCGCCCGTCGCGTGTTCGCAGCAAGACCGACCGTCGCCGAGGGAGGACAAAAAAACGGCACAGAGAGAACTTCTCGGAGGTCCGATCCGCGCTGGTTTCCCCCTCGCAGGCAAGCCGCTCCAAAGCTTCAGGGAACAAGGTGCGTGGCGCGAATCGCCAATGCAACCTTGAACATTCCAATTCTTATACTTTTATTACCCGGACCCCCCCCCCGACCCACCCCCCGTAAACAGGACCCCCCCCCCTCAGGGACGCCCTGGACGCTCTCTCGGACGTCTCAGCGGCCCCCTGGACAATCTTGGAAAAAGTGTGCTGACCCTTCCGGGCCTCCCAGGGCGCCTTGCCGGGCCTTGCGAGCAGACTCAAGGCGATCAGAAGGGTCATCGGAGAGGCGCAAGAGAGATCCATGACAGCACAAGAGCGCTCCAAGAGGAATCTCGATGGTCTGAAGTCGGCCCAAGAGGCCCCCAAGACGCCCCAAGAGGCTGTTAAGAGAGCCCCGAAGAAGCAACATTCGTCCCATTCCCAACGGAAAATGTATAAGTTTAACGTTTGGGCCTTCGCAGCGTCCAAAACGGCCCGATGGGCCCCCGATATCGCCACAAGACGGCCCAAGAGGCCCCCCAGAGGGTTCGAAGACGGCCCAAGGGGGCCCCAAGACTGCCCCAGAGAGCCCCGAGACTGCCCGCAAGAAGCCCAAGATGCCCCCAGAAGGCTCCCAAGAGAGACCCACGAAGGCCAAGGGAGATCCCCAAGAAGGGCACTGGAAGCCCCAAAGAGGGCCCTATGGCTTCAGAAGACCTCTGGAGGGCCCCACCCCAGGACAGCCCAAAGGAGCCCCAAAAACGCCCAGACGGCGTCTTCTTACGAGGTACATCGAGCTGACCCGACGATCGTGGTTCCACGCCTGAGGCTCGAGGCGTAAGTTCTTCGCTTGAGAGAGACAGGCAATGGATCAAAATTCGAAGTTCGACGATCGAAGATTTCCTGATTGCCTGGGGCCCTCCAGGCATTCAAGAAGCTACCAAACATCGATTTGTTCGGAACTACTGCGACTTCTTCGGCGTGTCATGGGAACGCTCCTTACTTCCTCAAAGGACCTTCGCGCGTGAAAAAAACAGCATTCCTTCACCACTCCTGCGCACAAGCGAGCAAGTGTTTTGGGCGAGCGCGGTGTCAGCAGGCACCAGGGATATCAGAAAAATGAGCCGGTCGCCCGTCCAGGCCTCGAGGTCCCCCCCGCGGATGCAAGCGATGGTTGATTGCTTTACCGGGGAGGGTCCGAAACAAAGCGCATGGCGCGAAGCGCCAATGCAGCCTTGTAGAGGGTCCGGAACAAAGCGCATGGCGCGAAGCGCCAATGTAGTCTTGTATCTATATATATAGATGCAGAAATATGTGCATATATGTATATGTATCGGGAACTGGGGGTTTGACATTTGGCCGCGAGGCGGAGGGTGGGGGGGTCTGGGTCTGGTCTCTGGATCGGTGTCTCGTCGCCCTGCTCTCTCCCGCCGCGCGCGGAGCAGATCGGGGGGGAGGGGGCCCGACGGGTCGCCCGGGACAGCCGGGATTCGGTCTGCGTCGGGGGCGCGCAAGCACGGATTTGAAGGGGCCCTGAGACACACAAATAAATACACACAAATAAAACGATTCCCTACATTTTCCCATATTTTCTGGGTTTCTGTCTTCCCCCCCACTTCCCATATTTTTCCATATTTTCCTGGGAATCGACGATCAATTGTGTCTGTGTGTTTTTCCCCTCCTGAGGATTAGCGATCCACGGGTCCATGGACCTGGCGCGCGGTCGTCAGATCCGTGGATCGGCGGAGGTGCCCTGCCGCCTCGCTCGGCGGCGGCAGTCCGCGATGTCCCCTGGAAACGGGCCCCGTCGCTGATCCACGCCCCCGTAAGCCATGGCTGCGATCGCCTGGCTGTGGAGGGAGGGAGGGGGGGGGCAAGGGCCCGCGCCGATCGGCGAAGCAGTGAATGAGAGAAGTGGCGACCTCCCTGGCACGAGGAGCACGCAGCCGCCAGGGGGTGCCCAGCGCCGATCCGAGGAATGCGCGCGGCCCTCCGAGAGATGACCCGTCGGTCGGAAGAGGTGAGCGGCATCATGAAGCAGGAAGGCGTTGGAAGTAGATTCGGTCCCCGCCGCCCTCTGAAGGCAAAGGAGAGAGGGAATCCACTCGATCCCTGAAGCAGGATGGCACCTGCAGCAGATTGGGATCTGGGCATCCAGCAATACCTACTTCCAACGACCAGCGTGTATGTTTATGCAATCGGTGGTGCTTCGGGCCACGCTGCTCGGCGGAGCTCGGAGGAGTGCGGGTTGGGGCAGCAGCGAAACAGTGTGGTTCCCTGCACCCCTCCCGGGGCCCAAGCGCACCAACGTTTCGAGCTGCGTGCAGGCGTGGTGGTGAGCGCCCCCCGAAGGCCAGCTAATTACCAGTTTCTCAGCCTGTCCCTTTCTGATGCACCTGTCTCACCCGTCCAATGCTCACACCTAGACCAAGGACCGCGAAGCACCGCAGGACGACGAGCGCACTCCACCAAGACCTCACGGACCTGCACCTTGGTGCGGGCGCGCTCCGTCAGGAGCACACCGACTTGTCGAGACCGAGGCCTGGAGCTAGTTGGGATCGATCGGCGGACCAGCGGTATACGAGAAGGCACGAGCGCGCAAGCCGCCCCTACACTACAGCTTGAGGCCAACATGGCGACGGCAGCAGCGGGGAACGGGGCGTCGGAGGAAGAAATTGACGGTGAAAGAAGGGCGAGGGACGACGACGGATGAGGATGAAGAGGGGATGGCGAGGGGAGGAGGAGCGAGAAAGCAGGATGAGGAGGAATAGTGTCGAGGGGCGATGGGGAGGAGGAGTAGGAGGAGGAGGAGGAGGAGGAGGAGCTTGCTTGCTTGCGCAGGCTGCTCTCTCTCTCTCTCTGTCTCTCTCTCTCTCTCTTTCTTTGTTTTTTTGTCGTTTTTTTCCTCTCTCTCTCTCTACTAGAGACAATTACTCCTGCTTGCTACGACCAGCTGCCACGGGAGATCATTGTCAGAAGAGCCGAGGGACCGAGACGCCACCGACGTGGCCGAGCGAGGGGCCGAAAGAGGGGGACGAACGAGGGAGGCAAGCAAAGGGGCCGGGCCCAGACCATTCAAAAACCGACTAGCTCAGTCCGCAACCCACACCCATTAGGTGGTTCAAGCGGGCCAGGTGCGCATGGGTGCGCTGCCAAAGCTCGACGGCTGAGGCACAGTGCATGTACACACGTCAGGGGCAGTCGCTCTCTCAGAATCGCTCGAGGTAGCCGAATCCACTCTATTCATTTCCCTTACGGTTGAGCGCCAGGAAGCTGGACACGGTGGGCCCGGTCTGTCCAACTACGCCTTCGGCACATCGATCCAGGCCGATACCCCCTCCTCCAAGTATCCCGACGGGACTGTCCCCTGGCTGACAGTGGCTCCAGTCGCCCTGAAGCTGTCCAACATGAGCCTCTCCTTGGCCTGATCCTCCAAGGCCAGCGCAGATGTTATCATGTCCTTGTCTTCGCACGACTCCAGGCGGCAGAGCCTCACGTAGTCGGGGGGTTCGTCCTTGAAAGTTTCTTTCATAGCCTCTAGGCCTTGTCCGTTCACCATCACACTTCTTTGATGGAGAGGTTCTCCACCACGGCGGCGAAGTCCGCTGGAATCGGAGGCCCCACGGTACGCAACTGCATGAGCATGTCCTCCGCGTCCTGCATGGCCTTCTTCTCCATCCGTGGTCGGGTCCGACCCCTTGGCCTTCTTCGCTTCCTCCGTTAGAGTGGGCACCCGCGTCCTGTAGTGCGCCGCCACCTGGTAGAAATCCTGCGGCTCCGTTCGCCTGGCCTCGACCACTAAATCCTTCTCCTCGATAAGAACTGTTCTCGCTGCGATTCCCAACGTTGCCCGACCTGCATGGACAGGAGCAGCAGCAACTCTCCTCCAAGCCCGCAGCCTTCGTGGCCGGTCTCCTCTCCTTGTGCCCTGCTCTGCGTCGACCTCCTCGGCGGACTCGAAGCTTGGCTGCCACTCCCTCGGATCCTGCTCCGCCAGCCGGGACCCTGCCCCCCCCCTCGCCCTTTGAGCTGCCTGCGGTCCTGGACCTTCGGCTGCGCGCCGCCTGCACTGGAGCCGCTCCCACCACTCTGAGACGGTGCCGAGGAGCCCCGAGCTGCTGGTCCGGCGGGGCGCCACCTGCCGTGCCGTGCTTCTTGACCTCCATCGGCTGCTGGAATCTCTGGCTGGCACGAAGAGGCCGGCAGCTGTTCGGATCTCACTGCCACGCGAGCGTCCACCAGCACCACCTGTGGGGACAGGGCGAGTGTTGTCCAGGTATAGGTGGCGCAGGGCGAGGAGCAACCACCGATATGGATCTGCCTTCCTGCATCGGCGGCAAGTGTGAGCACAGATGGTTCCTGAAGGAAGCGTACGTGGTGAACGTGTCGTGGCACAGGGCGCACTCGTATGCATTGATCTGCTTGAGGAGGAGGAGGAGGAGGAGGAGGAGGAGGAGAACGCTGAGAAGGAAGAGCGTTTGAGGGGAAGGGAGGAGGTGTGGGGGGGAGACCACGAGCCAGGGATGAGAGGGAGGCGGGGCGATGAGCCAGCGAGGGAGGGATTCCCTCCCTCCCTCGATCATCGCCCCCCTCTCTCTCCCATCCCTCGCTCCCTCCCTTGTTCCCTCCTTTCCTCCCTCGCCCCCTCCCTCCATCCCTCGCTCGCTCCCTCCCTCTCTCCCTCCCTCCCTCGCCCCCTCCCTCCCTCGCTCGCTCCCTCCCCCTCTCGAACCCTTCTGCGTCCTCCCTCGATTTCCCTCCGAGGGGGATCGAGGGAGGACGCAGAAGGCTTCTAGGGCGGCGCCCACACGCAGCGGACCTTGAACTTGCGGGCAGCGCGCGCGACGGTCGCGGCCGTCATGATGGAGCGCCTGGCGGGGGGGGAGGGGGGGGAGGTGGGGGCGACCTCGACGGCGTCGTCGAGCAGGGGCGCGGCGAGGCGAGGCAGGGAGGACGGGCCCACGCCTCTAGACAGCATGGGGTCCGATGGTGCCTTTCGGCTGCCTCCTCCTCCTCCTCCTCCTCCTCCTCCTCCTCCTCCTCCTCCTCCTCCCCCTCCTCCCCCTCCCCCTCCTCCTCCTCCTCCTCCCCCCGAGCACCTCCGCAGGGGCCCCGCCCCCACGGCGCCAGAACAATATGCCTGTCGGTTGCCCCGATTAGCTCCACGCTGCTGCGGACTGCCTCTGCCTCGCCGCCGAAGGAACAAGTGTTCCGGCGGTTGCGTCCCCTGGGAAGGGGGGGGGCCGCCGAAGCCTCTGTGGCAAATCATGGGAGCCTCCCGTGTCGACTTGCCGCCTCTTGCGGAACGGCGCTGGCCGACGCTCATCGACACGAATCGGCGCTACATCGACGCTGATGGACGCTACATCGGCGCTAGTCCACCCTGAATCGACGCTTCCACGTCGACTGCCAGACCCTAGCGCACGCTGCTGTACTCCAGACACTGAATGGCGAGGAACTGCGAGGCTTCCATGAGTCGCGCCAGCCCTCTGGTCTTAAGATGGTATAACAAATTCTTTCTTCCAAGAACATCTTCGTTCCTGGGAGGTGTACATCCCCCCTCTCTGTTTTTTTGTATTGTTTTTTTTTCTGGGGGGGCACGCGATCGGTCAGAGCGTCCACGATGGCCCCACAGAGGTCAACATCATTGGAATTACTAAAGTGTTGGTCCCATTTTGGTCCCCCGGGGGGGGGGGAAACGTTAGCACCACCCATTTGGTCGATAGCCTCAAAGATGGCCCCAAGAGGCCCCCTGGGGAGGGGCGGGGGGGGCAAACGTTAGCACCCCCCATTTGGTCGATAGCCTGAAAGATGGCCACAAGAGGCCCCCTGGGGCTCCCAAGGGACCCCCAAGAGGCCTCCAGAGGGTCTGGAGATCTCCGAAAAGAGCCCCAAGAGGACCCCAAGATCCCCCAAACCAGCGCAAGGAAGGCTCCACGTGGCGATTTGAGGGCTCTGTCCTCATCCTCATTGTCCTCCTCCTCCTCCTCCTCCTCCTCCTCCTCCTCCTCGTTATCGTCCTTGCCCTCATCTCATCGTCCTCCTCTCTCTGTTCCTCTTCCTCGTCGTCGTCGTCCTCCTCCTCACTCCCTCGCCCCACGCGGGCCCCAGGAATGGCCCGAGGAGGCCCCCCAAGGCCACCCCTTTGCTCCCAGAAATCTGTCTCTGTTTACCCTGGTTGCCTGCTGTGCTTCGTTCGCTACACGTGTCGCTTCGCCACTTGTCCCATCAACTCTCACGGTCAAGGCTTCCGACTGGGCTGGCGGGGAGGCGCGCAGCGGGAAGCATCATTACCGAAGGGACGACTCGGAGACTCAGGGGGAGAGGCCAGACCTTTCTGCTGAGGCTCACCCTGGTTGCCCGTTGTGTTTCGCTACGCGTGTCTCTTCGTCACTTTGTAGAAGAGGAAACGGCATAAATATAAACTGTTGGCGCTCTGCGCTGATTTCTTGGATCTGCGGAGGCGCCGCTGGGGGGGGGGGGGGGCACCGCGTATCCAAAAAGTCTGCGCGGAGCGCCACAAGTTTCTGTTTCTGCCCTGCTTTTCTTCGTCGGCTTCCCCGCGCGGAGCGCCAACAGTTTACGTTTCTGCTGTGCTGTTCTGCGTCGGCTTCCCTGCGCGGGGCGCCAGAACAATATGTTTCTGCCGTGCTGTTCTTCTCCTCCTCCTCCTCCTCCCTCCTCCTCCTCCTCCTCCTCCTCCTCCTCCTCCTCCTCCTCCTCCTCCTCCTCCTCCCTCCCTCCCTCGTCGGCTTCCCCGCCAGCTCTCATGGGCAGGGTAGGCGGGGCCGGCGGGGAGAGGCGCCAGGCGTGCAGCCTCGCCTGCCCAAAGGAGAGAGAGAGAGAGAGAGAGACGGCTCGGGGACCCAGGCTGGCCATTGCTCGGACGTCCATTTCCTGTGTTTGTTTCGGTTTCGTGCGTGGTTTTTTTGGCCAAATTGTCGAGGATGCTCCTCGAAGGTCCTCGCCGAGAAAAAATGCACACGTCCGAGCGATGCCAAGCAGGGGGAGACGCTGGCCCTAGATCGGGCATGTCCCCCCCTACGGGCGGATGTTGGACGAAGCATAAAGGATAGTAGAAAAATGCTCCAAGATGGTCAGCAGGAGGAGAAACAAGTCGTCCCCAGACTATTGCTTGACCATTTCTGAAGATTCCCCCTGTAGAGGCACGTGACCCGACTCAAGGCTGGCACCGGGGAGCGGCCAGGGGGGGGGGGGGCGAGCCGAAGGAGGTCGACCACGAGGTGCCCGACGACCGACGACCACGACGGCGACGGCCACCGCCACCACCACCGCGGCGATCGAGGCCAGAACTCTGCGGGAAGCGCACTCTGGCAAGGACTTGTGTTGCAAGCTGGCGAGGGCTGGCAATCCGTGGCTGCTAAAAGGGTCGTCCTGGAAGATACAAATTCCCGGAATCAAGTTCAGCGCACTAAATAGTAAACGGACTGCTTCCCAAAAGAAACAAAACAATTTCCCGGAGCTCTGTTTTAGCAGCCACGGGTTTGCCAGCTTTCGCCCGGCTTCTGACTTTGGGGACCGATCACGCCGTGGCGACGATGTGCTCCCCCCCCGAGCATCCTGCCGCACGGCCTTGTTCCCGACACGGGCCCCGACCTCTGGCTCGTGGGTCCACTCACGCTGCCCAGTGAGTCAAGAGCGTCTTGGGTGCCTCGGCGAGCTTCCCGGGGCCCTTGGGGGTCTCTTGGGAGCCTCCGGGAGGCCTCTTGGGCGCCTGTTGGGGCCTCTTGGGGCCTCAGGGCCTTGTTCACGACATGGGGCCCGACCTCTGGATCGTGGGCCCGCTCGCCCTGTCGAGTGAGTCAAGGCATGCTCGGAGCCCAGCGCCGCTCCGAGATGCCCGCGCGCACCTCCGAAACTCTCAGGGGGCACGGCGCCACCACAGGGGGCCGCAGCATGGGGAACGCCGGAGCGGCCCTGGCCACGGCTAGCCTCGACCACGAATAGGCTATTCGCGGCGCGCAGAAGGGGGTAGGGTTGAATGGAGCCCAGGGACACGCAAAAAAACAGGCACAAATAACAATATTCCCCAGATTTTCCGATATTTTCTGGGTTTTCGTCTTCCCCCCACTTCCCATGCTTTCCCATATCTTCCTGGGGGTCGACGATGAATTGTGTCTGTGTGTTTCTTTCCCTCCTGAAGGGTGTAGGGGGAGAGGGAAAGCTTCTTAGAAGGAGGCCGCTTCTGAGGAGGCGCGAGTCCTCAGACGAGGCCCGTGCACTCTGGGAAACAGGGGTGCATCCAAAAAGCCTGCCCCCCCCCCTCCCGCTAACCCCGCTCCTGCGCGTGGCCGAGGCTGCCCGACTGCAGGTCTAAGGAACGGCCCAGCGACGGGAGCCCTCTTCTGAGCCCAGAGCGGTCTTGCTCTCCTCGTCTTGACTGTGCTGCCGGCGCGCCGACGTCGCCGGCCAAAGCCTCCGCCCGCCCGAGTTCGTCTTCGGCCAGATTCTGGCAACGCTGCACGCACGGAGGGGGGCCCCCCGGCAAGCCCCTGATCAGAGCCCCGAATCATCAGGGATAACTCGGGTCAGGGATAACTCGGGTTCGTTTTTCGGGAATCCAAACCCGAGTTACCCCGGACCCGAGTTACCCCGGATAACTCGGGCGTCCAGAGCCCCGAATCATCAGGGATAACTCGGGTCAGGGCTAACTCGGGTTCCATTTTCCGGAATCCAAACCCGAGTTACCCCGGACCCGAGTTACCCCGGATAACTCGGGCGCCCAACCTGAGGGATCACGCAGGCGGACAGTTACGGTGAGGGCATTGGATAAGGATACGGAGCCCTTGGACCTCGGGTAAGGGATCCCGGATCTTGAGGCCAGCGGAACGCTAATTGAGCCTCGGCCAGGGATCAGGTAAGGAATCCTCCAGGGTTCAGAACTCCTGAACCCCGCCGTACTTGCTAAGCGCGGGGACCTGACGCGAAAAACGCAGCGGCACAAATTAGCCAATAAAGCGTGTCAAGAACGATGGGTGGAGGAAGAGGGGGATGAGGAGACGGCAACGTAGCCGCTTCTCCTGCCCAGCATTGAATGAAAAGGCGTGCACCCCCAACCCTCCGCATGGTTCACCTCCCAATTTGCGTCACCCCCCCTTCCCGAGGCTCGCTGGATACCCTGACGCCTCCCTGGCACTGCCCAAGGCCTCCAGCATGCTCAAGATCGCTTCCAAGACGGCCCTGGAAGACGGCCCTAAAAGATGCCCAAGAGGTCGCGAGGACGAATCCATGGCGCCCCTAGCGGCCCGAAGAAGCCCCGGCCATCGCCAAACATGATATGTTCGGCCCAATGTTTCCTTGCACGGCTAGATTTGAGCAGGGACCGACCGTCCTGGCATTTCTATAGGCCTACCACGAAATGTTCTTAGAACCCAAGAATGTTCTAAGAACGAACACAAGGCTCTTATCACATAAGCCCGATGTGTGAAAACCAAACAATCCCAGCCAGAAATGCTCTGAGAACATTCCGTGCAGACCACAAAAGGTTCTTAGAACGTTCTCTGGTAGGCATATAGGCAAGCTGGGACGCTTCGCCACTGCTTGGACCCTGGGCGAAGCCTCAGCTGCTGGTCCACGCAACCTCACGATCTTGGCTCCCCTCCCTCTCTCATCCTCGCACGTTTCCCCCCCCCCCCCCTTCCCTCTCCGAGCTGTTCCGCGCGCCATGCGAGCAGACTTGCTAGACGAGGAGGCGGAGGAGGAGGATGAGGAGGCGGAGGAGGAGGAGGAGGAGGAGGAGCGGGAGGAGGAGGAGGAGGACGAGAATGGAGGAGGAGAAGGAGGACGAGGAGGAGGAGGAGGACGAGAATGGAGGAGGAGGAGGAGGAGGAGGAGGCAGGCAGCGATGAAA